TGGACTCTCAGGCATAATATCTAAGATTTGAAGGTAAATCTTAGATAATAGGACTATCAGATCTCTCAGGAATGGTTCAGAGGAAGCTGGCAGATGTCCTCAACACATCCAGGCTTGTCATTCCAGTGAAGTGTCAGGGACCAGACTGACGGGGGGAGGATGGGTGACATTCCCTAGGAGGTCTGAGGACTGGTGGGAAGGAAAGAACTCCAAAGGAGGAGAATAGTCACTGACTTTCTAGAAAGAACAACTTCAGAAGAGGAGGAATGAACTGGTTACCTTCAACTCGGAGAGGAGATGGTGCCCACGGTGGGAAAGAGCTAAAGGAATCCCTGCTCCCGGTGAGAAGAGGCTGGGTGGTCTCCAGGCAGCAGCAGTCAAGGTGGCCACGCACAGCCACACTCATCTCTTGCCACCTTGGTTCCCAGCGTGGCCTCTTGAGGAGGTGAGGATGTCCTACTGAAGTGCAATGGCTCATTCCAGGCACACAGCCAGAGAGCAGGAGCACAGGGCATCAGGCTGCTCTGCTTTCCACAGTTGGGATAATCCCAGTGACCTGGATTCCCCAGAGCTCCCTTTCAGATACTCCTGAGAAAATCAGCTTCTTGCATGGGCTTGAAGATTCTGGGCACAGAGAGACCCTCTCCTCAAGGCAATGCAGAGCTTCCTGCAGAAGTAGGCACTCAGCACCGGAGGAACGCCCCCTGCTGGTGATGGCGATTACTGCAGCAGAAGGAATCACTACTTGGGACGCATAGGAAGGGGAGTGGGACAATTTAAAGACCAGATACCCCTAGTGTGCTCTATAAATAAATGGCAAAAGTTACTATCAGCAAAGTAAGAAGCAATGACAAGTAGGGAAAAATATTTGTAATCTATAGAACAAAATTCATATCCTAAAAAACCTTCTAAAACAATGAAAGAGAAGAACAAGAAATGTAAACAGAAAAAAAGAACCAGAGATACAGCTCACAGGAAAAAGAAAAAAAAAAAAGACAATAACTCTTAAATATATGAGAAGTGCTTATGCTTGTTAATAATGGAAAACTGAAAAGTAAAACTATCACTAAACAGACATTTATACTCAGTATGTTATCAAAAGAAACTCTCCAAAGATTCAAAAATACATATACAACATACACAGACACACACACATATATATATATTGAATATACAAATACACGTACATATACACTGAACTGATGAGATAAAACCAGGCATTTTAATACTTATTAGTAGAACTTTCAGATGGTACAATTCCTATGGTGAGAAATTTCTAAATGTCTAGCAAAACTATATATGCTTTTATCCTTTTACATGGAAATCTCAAAGACACACTGGGAAAAAATAAGATGATATGAACAAACTGGTCACTGAAGTTCTATTGTAATAGTAAAAAGCTAGAAAGGATGCAAATGTCCACCATTAGGTGGTTACTTGGATAAACTGTGGTGTTCCACTCTAAGTGGAGTACCATGCAGCTATATAAAGAAATAAATGTGGCCTTGTTGGGATCATCAGAAAATGTCATTAATTTTTATTTTATTTTTTTTTTAATTTTTTATTGTTGGTTGTTCAAAACATTACAAATTTCTTGACATATCATATTCCACATTTTGATTCAAGCGGGTTATGAACTCCCACCTTCACCCCATACACAGATTGCAGAATCACATCAGTTACACATCCATTGATTTACATATTGCCATACTAGTGTCTGTTGTGCTCCTCTGCCTTTCCCATCCCCCCTCCCCTCCTCTCCCCTCCCCTCCCCTCCTCTGTCTACCCCCTCCACTGTATGTCATTAATTTTTAAAACACAAAGAGTAGAAAGCACATATATTACCTTTTGCTAAAAAACAGACAAGTATTTGCTTATAATTACAAAAATACAGACATACAGTAGCAGGATAGAAAACTAGACTTCCTTAATTATACTTTATTTTGCAGACACACCTTTGGAACCATGCAAATGCCTTAGCAAAATGTATTTTCAATGTAAATCAGAATAAGAAAAAGTATTTTCAAATAAAAACCTAATAAAGCAAATAAATATAACTGCAAAATATTCACATAATCAAAGTGAAATGCTACAATGTGATTTTAAATCATAACAATATGATGATGAGAAACAAATTAATTCTTCTCAATATCAAAAATAACCATAAATATATATACATAGAGAACTATATATATATATATATATATATATATATATATATATATATGTATTTATATTTATGTCTATGTTTTTGTAATTATAAGCAAATACTTGTCTGTTTTTTAGCAAAAGGTAATATATGTGCTTTCTACTCTTTGTGTCTTAAAAATTAATGACAATTTCTAATGATCCCTCCATACTCCATAGCCACATTTATTCCTTTATATAACTGCATGGTACTCCACTTAGAGTATATATGTATACACACACACACACACACACACACGCACACACACACACACACATATATATATATATATATAGAGAGAGAGAGAGAGAGAGAGAGAGAATTCATATCACCTTATGTCATTTTTCTTAAAAAATATGCTTTTCCTAGAGTCATTCACTGAAACAACTTGTACATAGAGATGCCCAATAAAATCTAATACAAAGAGCATCCCCAATACCCAGTCTCTAGTCTCAAAATAACTTTTCTCACTTAGAGTAAACACCTGCCTCTTGAGGGAATGGCTAGTTTCAGATGTAGCCAGGAAATAACCCAGATGACCTTGAAGGAGCAGGAAAATTGAAGTCACCAAGGCTCCTGTGCTGCATTACAAGGATTTAGGAGCCCACCTGCAGTCACTTCCGGTGGCCAAAGATTGGATGCCTTGACTCTGTCCTTGATTGAAACACATCAATCATGTTAAAATCCATGGACTTATAACACTACTTTAAAAAATACTGGCCATTTCTGAGGACGCAAGGAAACAAACTCATTATTTTGAAAACTAGAAAATGAAAATTAAAAGAGGCACTTGCCCTCCTTTCACTAAAGAGTTCTGCCCAAGGGGAAATTTAAATGAATAAGGAGAGGAAGGAGAAAAAACAGGGAGAAAGAAAAGGGAAAATTTATTTTCATGAGAACTCCAATTTTTAAAAAAATGACAAAGAAAATAATAGGCTAATGATATCACCACTTTGAACCCTTCAGTTAGGTAGTGGATCTGGGTGATGCCTGTTAACAGCTGACTAAGCCACTGGGTGGGAGCTGGTGGGAAACTTCACAAAGGGCGGAAGTAGGTTGTCCATATCTGATCTACTGATCATTTTTAACATCAAGGAAAAAGGTTTGAGGACACCTTACATACCCGGATGAAGTATGAGGTGCCATCTATGGACCAAGTGTTGGAACCAGCCTTGGTGTCCATCAGCAAGTGAATGAGAAAAGAAAATATGGTATTTAAACACATGGTGTTTTATTCAGCCATAAAGAATTTAAAAATTATGTCATTTGCAGGAAAATGGATGAAACTGGAGACCATTATGTTAAGTAAAATAAGCTAGACTCAAAAAGTAAAGGGTAGCATGTTTTGTCTGACATGTGCAAGCTGATAGGAAAAAAGATCTTGTAAAAATAGAAGAGAGACCATTAGAATAGAGGAAGAAGGTTAAAGGATGCTGGGGTTTTAGCTCAGTGATAGAGAACTTGCCCAGCACTTGTGAGGCACAAGTTTCAATCCTTAGCAATACATGAAAATAAACAAATTAAATAAAGGAATTGTGTCCATCTACAACTAAAAAAAAATATTTTTTAAAAAAGGTCAGAGGAGAGGGAAGAGGGGAGGGCACAGGGAGATATTAGAGGGTGAACATGATCATGTCATGTGCACATATGAACATGCCATGGGAAAACCAACTATTCTGTATTATTGATACGTAATAATAACAAAAGAAATCAACAATTATTGTGATCATGTCATCAAATGTTATATTCCTGCTAACTCAGATATTATAAATACATTTCAGTCCTCTGACAGCTTTCATGGCCTTCTATAGCGCATGCACACACACACACACACACACACACACACTATGACCAAGCAGAGATTTAGCCTAGAAATGCAAGGATGGTTCAATAACAGTAAGCGGACATTTTAAATAATACAGTAAAACATTTTACAATAAAATCAAATTCCTATCAATGAACAAAAATTTTAGGGGACTAGGAAGAAAAGGAATGTTGTTGTTGTTTGTTTGTTGTTAGTGTAGGACAGTATTCGTGTGAGCAAAAATGGTACCACTGAAGTACATCTCCTGCTTGAGAGGGACTTTTTTTTCTTAACATGAGTGTAACGTGATCTCTAAATACCTATTTCAACATTCATACTTTGTTGTGAAATAACAGAAATGTTGTTTTGAAAGTTAGGAAAAAGTCAAAAGTCAAAATATAATCACTATTATTCCTTCATCCCAGAAGTCTGAGTTCATAAAGGAGGTTAGGAAGTGAGAGTAAGACTCAAAGTTGAGAGATGAATCGCTTCTACATACAAATTACATAATTATCCAAGGTGAAGACAGAAGGAAAGAGTAAGAGGATTATTTAGCCACATTCCTGATATAAGTTCAAAATAAAAATAAATAAATGACAGTGCTATAAACCAGCACCAACAACTTAGAAAATGTTATAGGAAAAGTTTGAGGCACTTTACTGTTATTAAGAACCAAAGTTATTAAAATACGTAAGACTTTGGGGGGAGTATAATAAAAATTATTGAAAAACCTAAACCTAAAGTTATAAGTTGAAAAATGTGTACTACATTTATGAATAGGAAAAGTAGTATCACCAAGAATTCAAGTCCCTAAAAATATATCAATAAATTTATTATGATTACAACTGAAGTCCCTACAAGATTCTTTATGGAAGTGTACAAATAAGTCCTACAATTTGTAGTGAAGGAGAAAGATCCAAAAATAGCCCAGACAATTGTGAAGATGAATAAAGAAGGGACACTGTTTTGATAACATTTTGCTGGGTGATAAAACACTTCAAATCTAAGTTGCTTAACAACAGTGATTTATTTTGTTCATAAATCCACACAGAGCAGTTCACAGTGGAAGACTCACTTCTGCTTCCAGGGGATGCTAGGGATGTCACTCAGGACTAGAGTCACCTGAAGCCAGATCTCCCCACTGCAGTGGCTGATGCTGACTGCTGGCTGGGACCACAGCTGGGTTTTTGGCTGCACCTCCATGATTGAGCCCTCTGATGGCTGTTGGGCTTCCTCACAGCATGGTGGCTGAGTTCTGAAAGAAAATATCCCAGGAGAGCACCTACCAGAAGCTGTATCACTTGTTAGGACTTGGTATTGGAAGTCATGGGATCATTTCTGTCACATTAGTTAGAAATCGTCCCTGAAACCTTCCCAGAATCAAGGAGAAGGGAATTAGGCCCCACTGGGCAATGAATGGCAAAGAATTTATAGATAAATTTAGAAACTACTAAGGGTACATTCCCATGAGATACAATTCTTAAGCAATAGCAATAAAGAATGACCCAGAATTAAGTAGATAAAACATGGAATTAATGGGATGGGGTGTCAAGGACAGAGACACAGGACAGAGACACTCAATAATAACAAGGGTGATATCACAATGGAGGAACTGGAGGAATAAAGGAAAACTTTATCACAATGTGCTACTACAAATCATCAGCATATAGGAAGAAATTACACCTCAGAAAAACAAATTCTAGGTTTAATAAATACATAACACATAAAAATCAAGATTATAACTTTAACAAGAAGTAAATACAGAAGAATATATTCACAATTCAGTAATTCAGAATTTCTTGAAAAAGACATCAAAAGGCACCATAGAGAAAACAATTTTGTGAATTTTGACTACAATTTTTCATAAAATCATAGACATCATAAAAATGTGAAAGACAAGCTTCAGACTTGGAGAAGTCATCTAGTTGACTAGTGATTAGAAACAGAATATAAGAATTCTTAGTGTTCCATAAGGAAGGGTCAAAAAATGCCATGGAAAATTAGCAAAAGTCACATGTGCTGATTCTTTGCAAAGAAAATATGAATGACCAAGAAACACATGAGAAGTTCCTCAACTTTTCCATTTATCCAGGAGATGTCATTGAAACAACTAAAAAATGTCATTATACACCCAAAACATTGGTGTTCTTTGTAAGTGACAATACCAAATGTTGTTGGGACCCTGCATGCACTGCTCATGGTGTGGATTTGGGTGATGTGGCGGTAAGGATAAAGATGCCCAAGCTTATCAGCTGTAACTCCTCTTCTCTAGAGGGTGTGTTCTAGTGCAATGCTCACACGGACCCAAGAAGAAATGCACAAACATGCTAATCACTTGTGAGAAAAAAAAAAGTGTTTAAGTAAGAGAAAATACCTCTGTGTTCATCAGGAGAGAAACAGATAAATTGTGTCATATTTAATAACAATAAAAAAATGCCACACTTACAGTGGAAAAACTGGACTTATTCATGTGTTGATTGCTAAAGCAAACTGCAGAATGTTAAGCTCTGCATAGTACAAAGCTACTGCATTTCAAGACCTTATATTACCTACTGATACACGTGTGTGTGCAGTAAATGTATAAATTGTGGGAATGAAGGCTGCTCACCAAGACAGTAGTTTTCTCTGGGAAAGCAGGAAGGCAGGCGGGGCTGAGGAATGCCAAGGGGGCTCCAAGGGTATCTGTCGCATTTTATGTCATAATAATTACTAGTAAATCCAAAGCAAAACTGTCCAAATGTTAAACTTTGTTATTTCTAATTAACAGTCAGGAGTATTTATGATATTTCTTTCATGATTAATGCATTTATATTAAACGTACAGAGTACTCAATACATTTAGTTATTGGAGTTTTGGTGGCAAGTTTCAGAAAGAGCTCAGCCAGATAAGAGAAAAGGGCACAGATTAACTCACAGGATCTAAGCAAGTTTAAAAGATCAAGCTCCAAGATGGAGGGATTTGCAGCAGAACTTAGAGATGAACTTGAACCAAGAAACATGAGCACCACCAGGATTCTCTCGCTCCCTGGCACCCTTGTCTTTCCACAAAAAAAAATAATACTACCCAGTTCCATGACTGCTTCTGTTGCTGCAGCTGCTGTAGCGCCATGAACATTTATAGAGTGCCCAGGGTGTGCACACCAGTGACCAGTGCACTTTACATTATTAACTGATTGAAGGCTAGAGCAATGCTATTTTATGGATAAAGAAACCGGGGCACAGAGAGGTGTAATGACATGTCCAGGACACTGCTGGTAAAGAGAAAACCCGGGATCAGACCCAGGCAGGTGCACAGATTCCATCCTGCGGAAAGCTGATTGTTGATCTTTTTCTTCTACTCTTCTCCGTACCAGGAGAAAGACAGCTTTAGACTTCGAGCTTAAAAATCCAAGAGCGAGGCCACAGAGAGACTATGGTGGGTCTAGCGCTCCTCCTGGGCCAATCCCTTGGCCTGTGGCGGGGGCAGAGGGAGCAGTACAAGGGTCACAGAAGGAAACAGAAATTTCTATGAAAACGATAAAGTTAAAGCAAAGAAAGAAATTACCAGGAAAAAATACTGTTTCCTCAGAGGGTGGGGAAAGAAAGAATGAGGGGCTAACAGGCAAATAAGAGGTGCCCGCTGCATGTTAGGTGGCTCTGGAGGTGATGTCAGGTCCCCCTTCTGTTCCTCTAGCAGGTGAACAGGGGACGTCGTGTTCTAGAACTGCCAACAGCTAAGGTGAGTTTCAGGGTCCTGCCTGCCTCTGCCTCTGTGCATTCTCCTCCCTCGTTCTTGCTTCTCCCCACTGGAGGCAGATGTGGGCACGCTGTGTTGGGGGATGAACGGAGCCAGTGTCTCCTCCAGGGTCCCTGAATTCTTCCTGGAAAGTCGAAAACGTTCTTTGTAAACATCCCATCATGGAGAGATTAGGAGTAATGCAAAGGTCATGTTTGCATGTTGTTTTAAACAACTAATTAAATGTTTTCTTTTCCTTATTTTGGAATCAGGGTCAGAGAATGGAAAGAAAGTGTGATAGCCATAGACACCCAGGTGCAAATCTTGCCTCTGACACTAAAAAAATAAAAATAAAAATAAAAATAAATTGAACATGTTTCTTAATCCTCTATATCTCAAATTTATCACTTTAAAATGGGGTAAATAATAAAATAATAACAGTCTCATAGGATGAGGAGGGTGGGGACAGAAGGATCTGGAAGGGAGTTTGTACCAGGTGATAAGGCACTCAGGTCTGCAGGAGAATTTGTCAGCTGTATGGAAAAGCATCAGTGTCACGTAACTGCAGAGGCAATTCCAGGCTGCCTTTTGATCACAGGAAAGGTGACACTATGGTGCTGAGGGAATACAAGGGGACAACTTACCTGCATCTGGGAGGACACAGGGATAGGACATGAGTTCCAAGGATAAGCAGGATTTGGAGTTACAGGGAATACTGGTGCCTACTGAACTCAGAAGAATATCATTAAATTTCTGAAATTAAAAAGTGAAAGTCTAGGTGTACACCACCAGGTGTGCAGCAGCCATTCACCAAACGAGTCTTCAATGTAGATCTACATCTTAGCTCAGCAACTTGCAGGCAGAGGCATCCTGTTCCTCTCTTGCTCACATCCATACCTGAACATTTGCCTGGTAGTCTTACAGTTAACAAGGTCACAGTTTCTCAGTGTCGATTAGGATTTATCTTGCATTGGGAGCTGGCTGTGTTTCTAATCCAGTAGCTCTTATTTTGAGAAGGAACTGAGAGGTCACTACACATGGAAACCAAAGCCTAAAGCTGCACTTGAGCCGGGTGCATTGGTCCAGATGAGGGGAAGAGGAGGGGGAAAGGAAAGCCACTTCTAGGGGCTGCTTCTCTCCTAAACATGACCTGCCCACCAAACCCTCAGCAATTGTTGTTGATTGAGTAAAGGAACTAACAAGTACCTAACCACTGCAAAAAGCAAAAGCAAAAGTCGAACTTTGTAAGAGACTCACCTTGCCTCCGTCACCACCCACAACAATCTGCATTCCTCAATTCCTCTTCTGTCCTCTTTCCACACAGGACTGGCTGGGAACTGTGCTGAGGTCACACAGCTAGGAAGAGATGGAGCCAGGACACAAACCCATCATTGCAGCTTAGTCTCACTCTAATGCTGTGGCTAGATCACATTTTGCCCCAAATATTCATTCAGCAGGTGGATTGAGCACCTGGGCCAGTTATATTCTAGTCACTGGGGACAGAATGGTGAATCAGACAGGCAGAGCCTCCTTCGTGGGACTTAAAAGTGGCAGAAACAAAATGAATCGGCAGGAAAGTACTAAACACATCTAACTACTTCAGCTGTTGAGAGGTGCTGCAAGAGTAAAACACTGGTCAATGATGGGGAGGGAGGGAGGAGAGGCAAACTTTTAATAGGTAGTCGGGAAAGGCATCTCTGTGGAGGTGATGCTTAAGTCAAGACCTCAGAGAAGTTTGTCATGCGAAGCACCCGGAGGCAAAGGGATTTTTACATCCCCATGGTAACTTTTAATTTCCCAAGCATCTCTGCACCATTATCCCACTTCTCCCATTGGGATAAGCCTTTGGAAATGATCCCCCATTGGGGTCCTTTCCACAGGCTGTCTCTACTTGGCCATCCCCCTCCCCCATCTCTATTTTGTGAGCAGGTTGGTTAATAATTGCAGGTCATCGGTACGGCTGGCAGAAAGGTCAGCCAACTCCAAGAGAAAGAAAAGCATCCAATTAGTTAAAAATTAGTGAAGAGTGATGCCCAAAGCCAGGGTGAGGAGTATCAAAGGCACCCAAGGAAAAGGTGCCCGAACCATCGTCCAAAAGGCAACTGGTGGCTCCTTAGGGAAAGCTGAACTTGGCCTGTCTAATGAGCCTTGAAACTTGGAACAAACAGATTCAGAGTCCACATTAGAGGCCAGCGGAGGACAACAACACGGGGATCATTAAACACCCTGATTGGAATGTGGCCCCTCTCCATCCTGGAGTGCGTGCAACCCTGGCCGGCCAGCCAGCGAGATGCAGTCAGAACAGGAGGGGACTCCCCATCTCTTGGGGGAGAATGGCCCGACGCTCCCTTCCTATTCTTTTTCCATTTGATTCCAGACGCCCTCATCCTTCACTCCACATTGGACAGCCAAGCCGTGTCCCTCAGCAGACCCAGAGACGGCCAGGTACACACGAGGATGGCTGCTGTGAAGAGGGCAGAGACTGCAAAGCCATCATGGCGCCCTTTCTCTGAGCTGGCAGGCAGCCTCGGCATCCCCCTCAGCACAAATCCACAGGCAGTCACGGCTATAACAACCAGAATCCACGTGGCCTTCCACATCTCTGAGGTGGACTCACCATCGCTCTCTCTGTGGGAGTGGGTGCATTTGCCATTGTCCCCATGGAGTAGTAGCTGCCAGGCAGGGAGCGCCGCTGCACACCAGAGAGCTTGCGGGTCTCTGCAGACTCCGCTTGCTCGTCCCCACAGCTGCTCGCGAGGTAGAAGGTAACACTGACCCCACTTTACACAAAAGGGAACCTCGGCTCCAAGAGGTGAAGTCGCTTCCCAAGCTGGGGAGTGAAGTGAAGCTGGCAGGGGCCTGAGCCAGGGCACAAACCTGGGTTTTCTAAACTCAGGGTGCTTTGGAGGGCACCACGTCAGAGCTAACTTCTTAAGAAACCAACGCACATCATTTAAAGGGTGAAAAATGAATAGGGTGCTACGAGGCACAGACTGAATGCCTGCAGTGACTATCTTGTAGCAGATGCGTTCTCATTTCTAAACTCGGCGAACAGCAGCAAGACCCACAAAAAAACGCAACCAGGAGACAGATACTCTCCCCCACTGAGACCTGCTGATAAGCAAATCTATTTTTAAAAATCCCCAAACTTACAAGTTGGGAGTGGACCTCAGGAGTGCTAAGTTCAAGTTAGGGCTTAGTGTTCCAGTGAAGAGCGCCTGGGGGTATCCTTTCATCTCTTTATTCAAACAACAGAGGGTTCCCGACTGCCCAGTGGGTCCCAAGTCCTGTGTGGGCAACGGTGCTACGGAGATGAACAGAATCCCTCGTGTCCGAGGAGCTTACAGACCAATAGAGGAAATGGACACTAAATACACAAGTACAGAGAGGGTCACTCATTTAGAGTTGTCAGCTCTCGAGGCCCTGAGAGAACACAACAGTGGGCAGTTCGATGTGGGAGGAGGGAGGTCAGAAAACTCTTCAGACAGGCCTAGTTGAGCAGGTTTGGAGGACTAGTGGGCTGCCAGGGTTTCAGTGAGTCAATGAGGTGCAGCGTTACTACAGGAGGGGCTGAGAAAGGGGCGATGAACCAGAAAGGACACAGCCCAAGCTGGCCAGGGACGTGTGTTGACACCTGGGCCACAGGAGTGTGGTGACTGTTGATCCATCGCTCCTCCCACTACACCCTGCGGAGTCTTGGGCAGAGGAAAGAGCAGCTGCCAGATGCCCAGGCCTGGCACAGTTCTGGGTCCAGCGGTGGCTGTCATTCTGTCCCTGGTGCAGTAATAAGTACGTCCAAGGCTGGGATTTCCCGGGATCCCAGGTGGGTCTGCCGTCTGCAGCAACAGGTCAACTGGAAACAGGCAGAGATTAATAGAACCTTTAAAATGAGCCAGATACAGCATTTTTAATGGAGCCCATGAATTAGTCAAGTGCTATGAATCTTTTTTTCAGCATTTTTCCCCTAGAAAGTAAATTTAACTTTTTAAGTACGTTGCTATCTATCCAGAGGCGGGATGTGCACAGCTGAGGCCACTCCACTCCCCTTCTCCAGATCGGGGACGCACTACTAGGTCTCAGCATTTTCTGTTTCATGATTAGAAAGCAAGGGTTTGAGGGCTGAGGCACCTTGGACCCAAGCAAAATTGACAGATGATTGAGTGGAGGATACGCCCGAGGGAGAAGGAAGGGCTTGGGCAGCCCCAAATGTCAGCCCTGGCTGCTTTCCTATGGAAGGAACAGAGACGTGCCCCAGGATTTACCTGGACGGGGTCACTTTCCTGCAACATAAACTAATACACAGCATGGCTAATGTCACATGATGTTTAAAAATTGAATGAATGAGGGCCACTTCCACTTCTGTTCATATGGAGGTGATTAGTACTGGATTTTCTATTAAGCTTTAAGCAACTAGAAAATGACACACAATAGGTGAAATGACTGAGTCACCATTTAACAACAAGCACCAAGGACCTTAAACCCTGAAAGAGACCCCAGGTCTCTGCCCCTAGGCCCTTTGGGGACTGTGCCTTAGGATGGGGAGCTGAAACAAAGCCTGCTGGCATCACTATTGAGGGGACGGGGACCAGAGCTCAGGAAGAGGAAGACAGCCTGGGTTCCCAGGGCGAGAACAAGACAGAAGGAAGCCAGGCACAGAGGGAGCTCCGGAAACCCCCACAGGGCATGGTCCAGGTGCCAAGCCGGGTGCGAGACCAGGAAGCTGCGAGGGACGTCCCCAGGGTTGGTGTGGGGGTAGAAGAGGACCAAATTCTGATCATGCAGAGGCTGGACATTCGGCAGGGACCTCAACAGGGTATGTCTCAGACACAGAAATAAAGCAGCCTTGGAGTAAAGGCTGTGCCGGGATCACCCCTCAAAGGTTAAAGAATCTCAAAAACGTTCAAGTCTATCTGCAAATAACTCCTGCCCAAACAAGCTTCAGCTTTCTTCAAAGGGAAGCAACAAAATCCAAACACTCAACCGCATAACATCACAAGGTCCAGAATCTAATAAAACTGGTAGACATGCAAAAAAGAAGGACCATGTGACCCACAGATAGAGAATAGTTAGACAACAGACACACACTCAGGGACAAGAGAGAGAGCTCTTACAAACAGGCCCAGGGCCAGGCAGGTGGCCACACCCCAGATCCCAGCTTCTCAGGAGGCTGAGGCAGGAGGCTCACAAGCTCCAGGCCAGCCTGGGCAACTGACTGAGACCCTGTGTCAACCTTTCAAAGGAGGGGTGGAGGGGCTGGGGATTTACCTCACTGGAAGAGTGCTTGCAGAGCACGTGCAAGACCCCGGCTTTGATCCTTGATAGTAACAAAAATAATAATAAGTTCTGACATTTAAAGAAAAACCTGTAAACAAAGAGGAAATAAAAGATTTTTTTAAAAAAAAAAATCTAAATGGAATTTCTAAATCTGTAAAATGAATTATCCAAAACGAAAAAGTCATGGTTTGGATTTAATAGGACAAAATATCAGTGAGTTAAAACACACAAAAATATAAACTATCCAAAAAGATGCCCAGAGAGGAAAAAACTGAAAATGACTGGAGTTTCACTGACCAGGGAGGCAGACCCAGCATCGTGCACACATGGGGCTGGGATACCAGAAACAGAGAAGCAAGATCAGACGTATTTCAAAAAAAAAAAAAAACAGCTGAGTATTCTTCATATTTCATGAAAACTGTTTACCCACAAGGCTTAGAAGGTCGATGAATCCAAGGCAGTATAAAAACAGGCGAAACCACCAAAGAAAACATCACCACATTTCTGAAAACAGGTCCTACCCAGAAATATCTTAGAAACAGAAAGTGGGAGAAAGGCAGACTGCACAGAAACAGAGCCAGGAAGCCTTGCAAGGCGGCCCGGATTCAGTAGAAAGCATTGAAACACACTGTTCAAAGAATCCTGAAAGTAAAAGTTAAATAGGAAAAACAAAACTGAGAGACAAACAGCAGATCTGGCTGCCATGCAGACCAGGTCACAGGAAGCCCTCCTGCCAAAGGAAATGGAGCGCGGGGACAAGGAGTACCAGAAACCGTAAAGATGTTGGTGAAGACTTTACAAACTACGGCTTCACGGGCGGGAGATCCAGCTCAGTGGGGTAGCACTTGTTTAGCACGTGCAAGACCCTGGTTTCAATTCCCAGCACTACCAAAAAAAAAAAAAAGTTTTTAACTTTATTAGTCTCTTTAAAAAGATCAGCAGGTTAAAACAAAAATGATGGTATTATATTATGGAATTTAAAATATGTTGAGGAATAAATGCACAAATTGAAAAGAAGGGAACTGGAAGTGTACTGTGAACTTTATGCATAGAGCATTATCCTGCTACTTGAAAAGAGAGATTCAAATATAAGAAAAGGAAATCTCAGGAAAACCACAAAGTGGAAGAAGGGGACCCAGGGACAGTAGGAGAGCAGGAAAAGGGGAGGAACTGTGGAATGAAATCCACCAAGCTGGGCCATGTGCATGTATGAATATGTCACAGTGAACTCCACACTGTGTATAATTATAAAGCACCGATTAAAAATTATTTATTTTATTATTATTAAAAATTATTAATTATTTATTAAAAATAATAAAAAGAAGGAAGACCCCACTATTATATATAACACCGTCAACACACTAATAAAATATTTTTAAAATATTAGAGAAATCAATAACAAAGTTAAATTAAGAAGTATAATTAATCACTCAACAGTGAAGATACAATAGAACACAAAAAAATTTTCAACTAATTTCTGAGTGCAAAAAAGGAAAAAAAAGAATGGGTAGTTTAATTACAAAACAAACAGCCAGATGGTAAATTTGAAATGG